ATTTTTGAATTTGCAAACAATACACCTTATTTTTTAATTGGTACACTTCAATCCACTGATTTATGATTTTTTCCCTTTCATCTAACCCAGTTGAGGTTGTGAGGCTCCATTCTCTCTAAAGTCCAAACGCACTGGCTGCCTTCACTCCTTCACTGGGCGGATCTTCACTTATCATTCTCCTTCTCCTTGCTCTGCTTCTCCTGTCGGTTGCTACCGCCGCCTACCGGTAAGCTGCTTCTTCTCGACAGTCGGGCAGTTATATTTATTTTGTCCTTCTTGATGTGATCTGGATATTGTTTGTTTTTTGTTGTTGATGATTATGATGTAACTGAGTATTATCTATTTGTATGCATTTTCTTAATTGGAGATTGGGAGTGTTTTTGGATGCTGAAAATAATGGGGAGTCATGGATGATGGATCTTGATATTAATTTTGAAATTAGGAAAGTGTTGGTGGGTAATAATTTTTATGTTTTTCTCATTTCTAATTATGAGAAAAGAACCTATTTTTGGTGTGCTTTTTCGTTTAATTACTGCTTTTTAGGGAAATCCAAGTTCAAGATTGGCCAACTTCTTGATTGATAAGTGTTTTATCTTGTTTAACTCTTTTCCAGCATTTGTCTCGGGCTTCTATTTCTGTTTCAATTCCTTTATTTTTTTTTTTTTGAATACATTTATGAAATTGAAGGAAACAAAAAGAATTAAAAAGATTAGCATTTACATGTATATTGAATAATTTTTAATATTATTTAATTAATTATTAATAAAGAACCTCATTCTTACGATTACTGATTGTCGACGGTCAATGATCAACGTCTGTCCGGACTGAACTTCAATGCTAGGTCCGCCACTGAGAATAAATGCTTTCGAATTTAATGGAGATGCGTAATAAACTTGATAGTGATGGACCATGTGGCTGGATTGTGGCTGTACCACAAAAGATGACACTTCTACTTCCACGTATTGAAGATTTTATATTATAAGAAATAGAACCTGATGATATTATAATTAGAAAACTAAGAAGCAACTTGAAGACAACCATAATGGATGAAAGCAATGGACAAAAAAATAAAGATGATCGAGAAAAATGACACTTGGGAACTTATAGATCTTCTTCATGACAAAGATGACATAGGAGTTAAGTGGGTTTACAAGATAAAATTTGACTTTGATGGTTCAATACAAAATCACAAAGCAAGACTGGTTTCCAGAAGATACTCACAAAATTTTGGCATCAACTATAATGAGATATTTGGCTCAGTCGTGCATCTTGACACTATAAGAGTGCTGATTGCACTAGATACACAGAAGAAGTTGAAGATTTACTAACTAGATGTCACAATGACTATATTAAAGAAGAAAGTTGTATAGAGAATCCTCAAGGGTTTGTGGTACAACGTCAAGAAGATAAATATTCAGACTAACTAAAGCATTGTAAGGGTTAAAGTAGCTCTACGAGCTTGGTACGATAAAATCGACTACATCACCGAGTAAAGTTTAAGGATGAGAAAAAACGAACAAACTCTATGTACATCAAGAACGAAGGTACAAATGATACATTCAATATCTCTCCATATGTTGATGATCTCATTTATATAGGAAACAATGAAAAGATGATCGAGATTTTAAAGAATATATGATGAAAACATTTATGATGACTGAATTGATGCGTTACTTTTTGGGGAATGAGATAATTCAATTGGAAGGTCTTATTTTCAATGTTCAGAAGAAGTATACTACTAGTCTTATAAAGAAGTTCAAGACAGAATGTTGCAAAACTATAGCAGCATCCCTAGACATCAACAAACCACTTAGAAAACAAGAAACTCCAAATGCAGACAACTATCAGTTCCGAAGTCTTACTGGAAGTTTAATCTGTCTCGCAGCTTCAAGACCAGACATTATATATGCAACTAGCCTACTTTCAAGATTCAAGCAAAATCAAGGTCAAGTTTACCATGGAGCTGGAAAGCGCATCTAAGATACTTATAAGGAATAAAAGACTATGAGGGAATAAAAGACTGACATATGATATCAATCTACGCTTGACTCAATACTTGGGTAGGATCAGTGGATGATATGAAAAATGACATCAACTTATGCATTCACATTAGGTTCAAGGATATTCTATTGGACATCAACGAAACAAGCAACAATTACATAGCCAAAGCAGATTATATTGCATCAACTATGACAACGAGCCAAGCTTTATGGCTAAAGAACATACTTAAAGATATGGGAGAGCCGAAAGGTGAAGCTATAGAAATCTAGTGTGATAGCAAGCCTGCAATAGTAAAAGCAAAAAAATCCCATATTTCCCAGCAAAACTAAACATATTGGGCATAAAGTATGCCTTCATCAGAGAAATTGAAGCTGATAAAAAGATAGAACTCAAATATTGCAAAAGAAAATTGCAACTAGCAGTCATATTTACAAAATCGCTATAACGTTTGAAATTACAGAAATATGCACCAAGTAAGAGTATTAACATTATTGCATATTTCTAGAATTCTACATGTATAAAATTCCCTAGATTGACTTGGATAGCGAGATTCTACATGTCTAAAATTCTCTAGAGCATTTAATTTGGGCTACAAAATATAAATATCGATGGAATTGATCACCGATTTGGAGGGCTATAAAAAAGGGTTTATTGATTCTAATTTGTGCAATAAAAAAGTAGAAATTACAGCCTACCAATATTTTAAACTTTCTATTTTACAATTCAGATTTACAAGTTTTTATTTAAAAAATTAGATGATAATTAAAATTTAAAAATATTAATGATTATATTACAAAATTAAATATACATATTCATTCTACCCAACCATAGACACCAAAACCTTATCATTTTCCCCTATCCATTTTCCCTCTTTTCTTTAGCTAATCCACAACTGTCACCACCACCACCACTTCGCCGCCGCCACCACCACCACCGCTAGCACCACCTCACCACAACCAACACACCGACGAAAAAAATCCCCAAATCCGCAACCGTAGCCTCTCCTCCGCTGATGCCATCATCACCACAAATCCACATCATCACCTCAGCCATGAAAACCACACCAAACAGATCGAGAGAAACAGATGAGATGGGGAACACAAAAATCAATCGTCGTGCACCTTCGACGAATCAACGACTCACAGCGTCGATGATGTTGGGATCTAGGGAATTAGTGGGAAACGAGGGATCGTCAGAGGCCACACAGCGTAGATGATGCCGGATTTTGGGAAAATTAGAGGGAAAATGATGGAATTCGAGGAAATGTTGTGATCTATTATAGTGGTGAACGACGGAATTTGGGAAAATTTATGTCACACAGTGGTAGCTCAATAACATTGTGAGGTGGTGGCAATTTTCATGGGGTTCTGGCAGTGCTGATTATTTTTTGGTTGGCTTTTGTTGGTTGTGTTTGCTATTGGTGGTGGTCGTCGCGGTATCAATGGTTGTGTGGCTATTGTTGTGGATTTGATTTGTTGGTTTTTTGGGTGGCAACGACGGGCGATTTGGTTGGATATTGTTTGTGGCAGTGGTTGTGGTGGTTAGGTGGTGGTGCCATGGTGGATTGGGGTTGGGTGGGGTAGGTAGTGGTATTAAGAGGGTTTGTGACCATTAATTTGGGTATCTT